TGAATAGTCCGAGGGGGACATGCCATGCAGTGTCCATTCATGTGACCAGGTGAACTCTGAGCCTACTAATAAGCTCCACCTGCCTTTCCACCATTCCCATAGCTGGAGGGAGAACGGACAGTAGAGCCAGATATGGGAGGCATTCTCCCAACCCCACTTACATCTGCCACACTGTTCTTCTAGATCCATACCCCGTGCTGCCAGCCAGGAAGCCGAGGGCGTTACCGATAACCATTGGAGCCAAATTAAACTCGCTTGTTTCTGGGATACCATAAACTTAAGTGCCCGCCGTAGAGTCGGCGTAGACCGTACAGATCTTTCCGGATCTAGGTTGCCCAGTGAGAAGCCTGGCTCCCTACTCAGTCTTTCTGTTGCCGTAACCAGAGCTCAGGTTGTTTCTTCACTGCAGTTTGTAATATATGGGTCCCTGTCTTGGTCTTGTGCAACCCGACTGGGTACAGCAGGTCCGACTTTGTCTTGTTTCTCCATCCATACAACAGGGGTTCAACTTGGATCGCTGAAGCATCGTCCGACACCAGCAAGGCCTCGTCTTTCTTACCTTCCCCCTTAAGCCACACTCGGCATTCTCGCAGCCCAACTGTTGACAGTGGTGAGGGGATGGATTTCTCCCCTTTATTAATAAGCCGTGTGAAGGATGTAGCTGCCCAGGTTGTTGGTTTCTTCTCCCAGACTTGAACTTTAACACCTTGAGGTAGGTCTGGTCCTAAGACTCCTAACACCCTCAGAACGCAACTGTTCTCAGTCGGATCCTGAATCCAGGCCCCCTGCCTGTGTTGCACCTCTTGCGGCAGCAAAGACAATCAATACTCTGGGACACTATTCTTCAGAATCTCATAATTATTGTGCTCGACATTTCTCAGAAGCAGCAGCCTTTTTTTAACCTCTGCCACTGGAAGCCATGCATCCGCCTCCATGTCCCACAGATGCTTGAGCTGCACTATTCCCTTCTCCACCCAGGCTTTGCCAAAGCTGCCTGGGCTTCCATCTGCCTTCAAGCAAGAACCCGTAACAGAGACTATGAGAGGATTTTCGAAGAGAATCTGATTGAGGATTTCCCCCCGGTCTCCGGCGGTCGAAGAAGCTCGGGGGCGAGTTTTTGCCATGCAGACAGGATATTGCGCCACAGTCTTGACTTTGGTTTGCGGTCAAGTTCCATTATACAGATTCGATCTTGGGTCGGTATTTGAACAGTTCACGGGTGTATGCACTGAGGTACCGTGACGTAGGGCCTCACCACACGGCACACAAAACCAAAAGGAAACGAGTGCATCTGGCCACGAAAAGTGGCAAAATACACTCGTTACTATTTACAGAAAACCGATGAACCGGGCGATTTCTGCTGGAAGATGCATTCGTTTCCTTTTTCATTTCGTGCGCCGTGCGGCCACTCCGTAGGCTCTTGGGTGCAAGCACGTTTTTTTTTTTTTTTTTTTTTTTTTTTTTTTTGTTGTTGTTGTTGTTGTTGTTGTTGTTGTTGTTGTTGTACACGTTTTGAAAAGGGCTACCGGGGATACCTTTCTTGGCCTTTTGGCTAAGATCGAATATCTGTTCTGATCATCAGATCTGATCCGTGGTCCATCGGTCTACAACGATATTAAATTAATTGTTTTGGGGTATGGAGGGGTTGTAAGGGTAAGCTTGATTCCCCGGGGCCAAGTCCCACTAGCAGCGTTGAGCTACCTCAACGCCCGAATCTGGACGTATTTGTGGAGACGTGCAGTTCAGGAAATTCGACACCATTTTGGCACAGCTCCGCAAAAGCGTCCACATTCAGGCGTTGAGGTAGCTCAACGCTGCTAGTGGGACTTGGCCCCCGACCACGACCGCCTCCAAGCGTTGCCTCTGTATTCCACTGGCGCAGAGGGCGGCGCAGCCCTCGAAAGAAAGAAAAAAGAAAAAAAAAAAGGGCTACCGTAGTAGCCCTGCCTTTATTTAACGTAATATAATATAATGGCGTGCTTGCCGTGTAGAAAACATGCACCTGGCGTCTTCCCCCGAGCATAACGCACCGTCAAAAATTCTCAAAATGAATGTATGCAAGCATTGCAAGGTATGTTTGCGGTCCGATACAATCGAAATGAGGGGGTGTTGTGTTCGGGGGAAGACTTAGTGTTATTGAATTGATACGGTATGATCGAGGCCTGGAAACAATCGGAGTTACATTTAGGGCCTCGCCACACGACTGTCGAAACGAAAAACGAAGGAATGCATCTTAGCGCAGAGAAGGGCAAGATGCATCCGTTACGATGTAATAGTAATAATGGATGCATCTTACCAACTTTCTGAGGTGGATGCATTCGTTCTTTTCTCGTTTCGACAATGGTGTGGCGAGGCCCTTAGAACGCGGCAGTGGAGCGAGGCCGCGTGAGGCGCTCACGAGTCACGGCCTTTTCTGAAGGCCTGGCTTTTTCTGAAGGCCTACGTGTGTTCTGACATGCGGGGAAGCACTGCTCCCCGCATACTGCGAAACGACAAAAAAAGGGAAAAAAAAGGACAGAATGGACAAAAAATTGGACAAAATGGACAAAAAATGGACAAAAAATGCACAAAAAATCCACAAAAAAGGGACAAAAGGGACGAGGAAACCTCGGGCGCCAACCACTACAGGACAAAAGGAAAACGTATCCAAGAAAAAATGCGTGATCGACAATCCGGACGCCTGGGGCGTGGTCCCACTAGCAAAGAGGATCGGATCGAATGCCTGAATCTGGACGTCATTGTGGACAGGTGCAGGAAATCAGATTGAACTGCTTTTCTCTGCACCTCTGCATAAAACACGTCCAGATTCAGGAGCTTGATCCTATCCTCTTTGCTAGTGGGACCTCCGCCCTGCAGGACGGACCCTCGAAGCCGTGACTGCGAGGGGGGCAAAAATAAACGTAATCATATAACGCTACCACTGCATTGAACCCCGGGGTCCGAGTCCCACTACCAAGCATTGCTCCTAGGTGCATTGCTCCTGGTCCGGTAATGGGGACCACCTCCCAGTTGTGTGACACTCCTTGCCACCGCCGATTGCCATGGATCGAAGGGCAAAAAGGCCATTCTCTTCTGTTTCACGTTGGCTTATTGAGGCAGGCAGGCGGTGAACTCGGTGCTTCCCTATCGGGGCAGTGCAGATGTTCAATCACCTTCTTATGTCTAAGGTGGTATGGTATGTGAGTCCTCCTTTGGGGCGGTGCACATCACGCTAGAGAGGGGGACCGCCAGTTCCGTTCGAGATATGGGAGTGATGAATCGAAAACACGAAGGGACTGCAAAAAAAAAAAAAAAAAAAAAAAAGACACACAAAGGGAGAGTGCAAAAACAGGAAAAATACCTTTCTCGGCCTTTTGGCTAAGATCAAGTGTAGTATCTGTTCTGATCAGGTCCATTGAAAAAAAAAAAAAAAAAAAAAAACCAGGAAGAAAAACGTTTATGAAACACCTGCCACGTGTGGAGGCGAGAGTTACGGTAGCAAAACCTTGCATCACCAGGGCCGTGGTCACATTAGCAAAGAGCATCGGATTGAATGCCAGAATCTGGATGTTTTTCAGGACAGGAGCAGGAAATAGAGATCGAACTGCTTTTCTGTATCTCGGCATAAAACATAGCCAGATTCAGGATTTCTGTCCTATCCCCTTCGCTAGTGGGACCACGGCCGAGATGACCATGGTCTGTTCGACAGAGGAAAGCTTCACCATTGGGCCTCCCTGCACTGCTCTCCAAAGGTGGAATTCGACAATGAAATTTCCGCAAGAACATGGAAAGATACACTTCCATATGTTCTTTTTTTTTTCTTTTTTTTTTGTGAATGTCGAGAAAAGGAGATGGACCCATAATTCATACGCCATACCCGGCGACAACGGCCTATTTCCCAATAAACAATGAATAACCAAATTCTACTGAAACCTTTGTCCGTATTTTCTAAAAAGTAAAATCTAAAATACAACAGTCCTCAGTGAAAGTCTCCGCATACTACGCAACGTCCGAGGCAGGGACTCACTACAACATGAAATGAACCTGGACAGTACTGCTGGCTTGGTGCCTTCGCAGAAACGAGTTTGGGGCTGCACAGCCAAACAAAGCATGAACACTCTGACAGAGTGTCCTCCCACGGCTGTCAGAGCGTCCTCCCACAGTAGGTCATGATGGCACAAGCCCCGTTGAACCGATACCCCACTGCAAGTGGGGTATGTAGTTCAGCGGAAGATGGGCAGGGTAGGGGGCTTTGTATTCGGGTGGAAGGATTGTTTAGCACCTTTATTGAAAGGAAAAACAAAAACGAAAGTCTTATGTATTTTATACACCTAGGAGGCTAGGAACAACCGCTGGATGTGCAGCTCCGGATGCATCTTAGACGTCGTGAGGGGTCGCACACGTTGAGCTAGTTCAACGTTGAGACTCAACGGTGTATGTGGGACTTAGCCCGGGGGGCACAGCTTCCTTTGCGTTTTTTTTCTCTGTTTTTTTTTTTAAGGTACTTCATGTGGAAGAACTGTACGACCCACGGAGAAAATAAGGCCGCACAACGCCCGCCGTCGCAATGTGCCGCGTAGTTCGGAAGACAGGAACATGACCGCCGCTAGTGGGACTTGGCGCAATGTGTCCCATGACTCCCATCGACTGACCGTCTTCCAGGGCCTGCTTCTTCCTTTTTATATGATATGTAAATAAAAAACAAATGTGTAGTAATAAAAAAATAACATAATAATATAAAAATAATATATTATATAATATTAGATAACATATCGATAAAATATATGTATATAGATATCGGATAGCTCCTATTCCGTTTTTTTTTTTTTTTTTTTTTGCAGCTCCTGCTATTCTGATGACTGTGTCGGTAATATTTGTCCGTGTTCTTGTTTCCTGTTTCCTAATTTTTTGCCATGCAAATTTTGCCACGTTCTCCTCGATAGCTCTGCTGCACAGCTGCTGCGGCTTTTTCGAGTCTAGACTATTGACATCGTTTGTCTGTTGGCTGTTGGCTGTGGCGACTCGATCACTTTGCTTCTCTTTTTTGCTTTATGATTACTATTGCCTCTATATATATATATAGCTAGTTTTGTCAGTGGCAGTCTGCTTGATTTGGAATTTTGGAGGAAGGACACTCAGTGACAAGAGGGCGCTGCTACTTTTGACTGCCCAACGACAAGGATTCACCGCGATGACTGAACGGCGAAGGCCGGACAGCGCGCCGATGGATGAACGGCCCACTAGGCTGGACTGCGCGCCGATGAATGAACGGCCTACTAGGCAGGATTCGATGGACATGGAGGAGAAGCTGAGGCTTGCTAGTAAAGCCGTCACGGAAATGAGAAAGGTTCGCTCACATTGCTCGCCCCCCTCCCCCTCCCTTCCCCCCCCCGCCCTCTTGTTTCCCTTATTGACCGTTTTTTGTTTCCCGCGAATGGAACAACGCATGGTCATAATTATTATGGCTGTATCTAGGCAGATGGGAAATTGCCACAAAAATTACAGCCGTAGTGACCATGTGTTTTATTCGGGGGGAGGCGGAAATTATCGCGGTCTCCACTGTTGTTGTTTTTTTTGTGTGTGTCTGCACATATTGAGAAGGTTAGCATAATTTTTCCAATTTCAAAGAAAAAGTTTTAATTTGAATATGATTTAATTTTCAATCGATGGCTTTTTGTCGTCAACGAACGTATCGGGTTCGCCGACCCCCATATAGGTAGGTTGATGCGACCACGAGGGGGCGGGAGAGGTCTCCCACTTCGCAAAGAGGATTGGATGAAGCACTTGAATCTGGACGTGTTTTATGCACAGATGCAAAAAAGCAGATCAATCAATTGCGGTGTCCTGCACCTCTGCACAAATGTTTCCAGATTCAGGCGTTATATATATCCCTTTTTTTTGCTACTACCCGTCTTCACCGGAATAAAACGCCCGGTCGTTATAGCTGTATTTGGGCCAACTTTCGGACCAGATGCAGAGTTAATGACCGGGCGTTTTATTCGGGCGAAGATGGTAGTAGTGGCACGTCACCCAAGGAGGGAGGGCAACATCTGTCCAGGCACGGGGGGGGCCATGCTAAACGGAGCCAACAGGGACTCGATTGACCGACTAACAGCCCCCCGCCGACCGGCCCCCCCCTAAAAAAAAAGCACAAAAAACAAACAAACATATTTCTTACTGTAGGATATAACATTCCTATTTCTTGTTTTTCTTTTTTTCTTTTTTTCACTTGAACAGAAAGCACGAACTTTTGGAAATCCGTCCGATCATGGCTCCCCTCTGAAAGTCCGTTCCTCTCTCTCTATCTCTCTCTCTTTTTTTTTTTTTNTTTTTTTTTTTTTTTTTTTTTTTTTGGGACTGTTTCTGGATTTCTGCGTGTCATCTGTGAAAGCGCGGGGGGCATCCATGCTAATCTTTATTCTCTGTATCGTTCCAATTTTATTGGATGTCCCCAAGGACAACTCTCTCTTTTTCTCAAAGTTTTGCTTTCGAGAAGTTTCGACCGAACTTTTTGGAAATTTAAAATTTAATCCGTCCGATAATGCGGCTGTCTGTGTCTTTGTCGGCACGTCTGTGAGACTGTGGCTTCTAATAATTCTCTCGGTTTTCTCATTTCGATTGTCGGAAATGAAAATGAAGCATCAGCGGAAATGGGACTCGGGCCCGAGCCCAAGGTAATGCAGAATGATATTATTCTGGTACATCTGATTGTCCTCGGGATTCGAACTTGAGGAGTCTGTCTGTATCTCACCAGTTCATGCCGACTGAGCTTGGCCCGTGGGTTGCTGCTTGTTTTTTTTTTTTTTTTTTTTCAATTATTTGTGGCCCGATGGACGGCCACGGACCAAGGGTAGTAAACTGCGCAGAGGAGTCTGTCTGTATTGCAACAGTTCAGTCTTGTACCGACTGAGCTTGGCCCGTGGGTTGCTCTTTTTTTTTTTTTTCCTTTTCCTTTTTTGGCCCGATGGACGGCCATGCATCAGGGGTATTAAACTGCTCAAGAGAACAGATGCTAGTATCATGCTACACTTTATCTATTTTTAGCCAAAAGGCCGAGATAGGTGTACTACTAGGTTGCTGCTTTAACTTGTTTTGGCGAGCCGCGCTCCCTTTTTTTATTTTTTATTTTTTTTATTTTGCTGATGACGTATTTTGCTGCTGGATGTGTTTGCTGCTGCCTTGATCTTTTTTTTTTTTTTCAGAGTTCCCGGAAGTCATCGATTGAGGAGATTGTGCAGGCGTCGGGATATGCGCTGGGTTGCATGGCTGGAGGCTATGGGCAGGCCCTTTTCAAATTCACGGGGAAGATAATTGGGGTTCGGTTCGCAGAGAGGCTGAGGCAGATGGTGGATCTGTTTCTGGGACACGTTGGGAGGGGGTGCTCCGATGCCAGAAAGCTGACGTTCAGTATCCGTTGGGGGGGAGAGAGGGGGGACAAGGGAGGCAGCTTGCCGTCGAAGGAGAGGGTAGAAGAAGTGAGGGAGGAGATGGCCGCCTTGATGAAGCAGATCAAGAGGGCAGTGTGGATGGCAAGAGAGGTGGAGCGGCAGAGAGAGGAGATGGTGAGGCTCGACGAGGAGCGGAGAGCCAAGGAGGGAGAGAACAAGAGTTTGGAAGAGAGCATCGAGAAGAAGAAAGAGGAGAGGAGCGCCCTCGTCGCGTCTTTGAACCTGTTGCAAGAAGAGATAGAGGAGAGGAGGAATGCCGTCGTGTTTACCCAAGAGCTGCTGGACATGATGAATGCCAGAGTCGCAGAGCTCAAGGATGACATCGCCGCGCTGGACTCGAAGAAAGCCGCAAAGAGGGAAGAGCTCCAAGCGCTGAAGAAGATGCAGAAGAAACTTGTTGTTGCACGCGGGGATTCTGAAGAAGATCAACGCGCGGTCGGCCATTGCCACGCAGAATCGACGGTGGAACCAGCAATAGATCATTCAGATCAAGCGGTACTAGTTGCACGAGATGTCCCAGAAAAAATGGAGTCTTGTGAGGTGGAGGAGGAGGAGGAGGATGCGAAGGAGTTGGCCAGTGAGTTGCGGTATGCGAAAGCGAGAACGGAGGGCGATCAGCATGGGGCTTGCCGTTCTTCTTGGCATGACGTTCTGCTCCCAGAGGAGCCCTCAGCGGACATGTGCTTGAATTCGGACGCTGAAGAGGACAAGAGGAGGTAAGTTTTTTTTTTTTTTTTTTTTCCTTGTTATTATTATTATTGTTATGATTGTTATTAATTTAATAATTTTATTAATTTTATTAATTTTATTATCTAAGTACATGGTGCTGCCAATCTACTTTCCTGAATATACAACAGGAGTTGTCGTCCTTGTGTCCTATGTTGTTCGTTTTCATTTGAAACAATCATCATGATGGTGAATTCAATTTTTGTTGACGTCTCTTCTGTAACTTTTTATGCAGTAGTCAAGGCTCACTCACACGAGCTGTCTCGTAAATGTATCTGACTGCATTTACGGCCGGACCAGAAAGAATCTGACCGCAATTCCGTCCAGAAAATTCGAAATAGGAACAAAGATGCTAGTGTGAGAGTATGCTCTCAAGGTATCAGAACTGACAGAACTGCATGATAGCAGGTACTTGTACCATGATTAGTATTTTAGGCTATTAGCCCATGCTGCCCATCTGCATCAAAATTGACTTAAAATTTAAAACGATGTGACGGTATCTCCAACAAAAATGCCACAATTATGTCCCGAAAAAGTCACATACTATGATTATTATGAGCCCATGCTGGCAGGTGCTGCCCGTCTGCATCAAAATTGACTTGAAAAGATGTGACAGTAACTCCAACAAATATGCCACAGTAACTCCAACACAAATGCCACAGTAACTCCAACAAAAATGCCACAATTATGTCCCAAAAAAGTCACATACTACGATTATTATGAGTCCAGTGCATGCTGTCCATCGGCATCAAAATTGACTTAAAAAGATGTGACAGTAACTACAACAAAAATGCCACATTAACTCCAGCAAAAATGCCACAGTAACTCCAACAAAAATGCGACAATTCTGTCCAGAAAAAGTCACATACTAATATACTATGATTATTATGGGCCCACTACATGCTGTCCATCGGCATCAAAATTGACTTAAGAAGATGTGACAGTAACTACAACAAAAATGCCACAGTAACTCCAACAAAAATGCAACAATTCTGTCCGAAGAAGGTCACATGAACTCTGAAAAAAAGAAAGAATGTCACGCTGTCACAGTCCGTCAGTGACTTTTAGAAAATGTCACAGCAAACGCAGGAGCTCTTTTTTCAAGACGGCGACGGCCTTGGCAATATATCATCATTGAAGGTGATTGAATATTGAGCAGACCGCCCCTGCGTAATTTTCAGAAGTACGTTCTTTTGTTGATCTGGCTGCATCTGGATTCGAACTTGGGTCTGATTCATATTTCAACAGTTCAGTTCAGGGGTGTACACCAACTGAGTTAGGCCCATTCAACTTGGTGGAAATGCAGCGACTCTAGTAAAGGATTCTTTCGTCAAAACTTCTGTCTGCTAGCTGCAAGTATTTTGTACCTGCCGGTAGCATCACGACTTGCACGCTCTGTAATTATGGGGGGCCGGGGACTGTATCTGGGCGTAATTAAGGCACAATGCATGATGATATCCTCTAGGTAGTATAATTATTAATTACAGACTTGTAGTTAGCAAGCAATGCCAAGCATGCAACTCACTTCACAGCCTCCTCATAACACGGGCGATTCGGAAGTGGATGCGGCTACCTTCCCATCTGCATCATGGAAGCAGCTTAAGTAACTTTTTGGAATGACGTCAACATCAATTAATGCATTGCTCTCGAACTAGGCTTTTTTCACAGTAACTGCCAGTGTTTGGCGAGAAATGCAACAGTTGCCGCATTTGTTTTTGAACTACGTTTTTCGAATGACGTCAACAGCAATTGTTGCATTTTTCACACTAACTGTTTGGCGAGAAATGCAACAATTGCTGTCGACGTCATTATTCCTGTGGGCCCTCGACCAGGGGGAATGGGGCTTTTCCCCGGTACCGGGGATTCGTTCCCCCCGTAGCACTGGCAGGGGACGAAAATGGGACGGTCACCAGGTCCTGCCTGGGGGTTTGCGCCCATTAGCTGGCCAACAATGGAGACGTGGGACTTTCTGCCTCTGAGTCTGCCCTTCCCCTCCTCCTCCCCTGCCCCTAACAAGTGCCACCCGAGCTGAAGGGGATTTTCAATTGGTCCACTGGCTTAAGATGGACGCTTCCACCTTGAAGTTCCCCTTTAGCTGCCAGTGGACCACTTGAAAATGGAACGGGGAACTTCCTCGCCCGCCTCCCCCCCTGCCTTAGCTGGAGCGGAAGTGGACCTGAGCTGAGACTTTCGGCTGAGCGGGAACAAAAACAATGGGGTGCAGGGTCACATATTCCCCCAGATGAACAGAAACGTTAAGCGATGACTGCCAAACGTGTCGTTGGAGGGAGCCAAACGACGAAATTAGAGGTGTTAACTTGGTGACTTGTAGGAACGGTGCGAAATGAAGAAAGTGTGCGAAACTCGTTCTAAGAGAGCCAAATGAATAAATTAAATGTGGTCTGGGGTATGCTATTTGCTCTGTGATCCTTGTTCGACAGGGATGATGACGTTGCTGGCGGATTTCAGCAGTACATGGAATTCTGTGACTATGCGCAGAGGTACGAGGTGCTTGTGGGCGCCTTGAAGCATTTCTCAGGATCAGTGCTGAAGGTGGAGAGAAAGAGGGTGTTCTTGGCAATAGCAGAGTTGGCATTGAGGCAGGTCCTTACTCCGGACAACTGCGTACAGGCGGTGAAGGATGTGGCGCGGAACGTGGAGGAATTTGGACAGGCACAGGGTCTAGGGGAGGCCGTTGGCTATCTTCTTAGCAGGGAGATCCTCACGGGATGTGCCGTCAAGTCTTTGTTACTGTGTATGAGGGTTCGATGGGTTAGGCAAGAGTTTGGCGTGGCAATGCTGAAGACGTTCCACAATGCGCTGCAGGGAACGAAAAAGTCGAAAGATAAGGAGCTCATCAAGTTCTGTTCATCGAACGGATTATACTTTTGGGTGGCAATGGGAGGCCGGGAATGTCCACGCCTTCGAGGCCTGTTGACCAGGAAGGTTCGTCTCTCTCTCTCTCTCTCTCTCTCTCTCTCTCTCTCTCTCTCTCTCTCCATGACCACTACTGATGACAGGACTTGCTGGATCCCGCCGTGAACCGCAAAGAAAAATCGAAATCGACCTTGGCTCGTACCATAAGTAATGAAAATAACAATTGCATTTGTTGCGTTCATCGCATTCATCACTTTCATCTGTCTCATGATCTGTTTTTTTGTCTTTTGCCAAAGGGATAGCCCCTAACATTATTGCGTCCATCAGGATTTTAACTCTCAACCTGTTTGCTAAATAGACCCTAACATTCAAGTTGTTTCCATCCTTACGACGATCTTCTCTTCTTTGTTTTTTCTCTGTTTTTCGGACTTTTTCCATAAGCAAAAGTTCCAAATCCATCCGAGGAAGGAACGTACATCATCTATACCTTTCTCGGCCTTTTGGTTAAAAATAGATCAAGTGTAGAATATCTGTTCTGATCTAGGCTACCAGAGTGGCCCGGGGTCACTTGCCCGGCCGGGCCAAAAACAATTAGAAAAATAAAAATCAAAAAAATATTTTTAAATTTTATTTTTGTTTCTAAATTTGATGCAGAATTTCGATGTGACCCTGAGGCAAAAGTTGTTCAGTTTATTTTTCTGCATAACATAGTTTTTTTCCGTATTTTTTTGATTTTTTTTTTTTTGCTGGGACCTTCCCTGGTCCTTGCACGGGCTGGCCACCGGGACCCGGGCGGCCCGGCTGGAAGCYTAGGTTCTGATCAGGTTTTTTTTTTTTTTTTTTTTTTTTTTTTTTTTTTTTTTTTTTTTTTTTTTTTTTTTTTTTTTTTTTTTTTTTTTTTTTTTTTTTTTTTTTTTTTTTTTTTTTTTTTTTTGTGTGTGTGTTTGTGTGTGTGTGTGTGTTCTGATCAGTTTAACATCTGATCTGCGGGCCACAACGATATGAATTCCCAAAAAAAGTAAAAAAGGAACATACATCTAAATGTCATCTATCATTCTCTGCATTTGTCCTTTTTGGAGTCTGGAATCTGTATACCCCATTCAAGTGAACTATCTACTTGGAGATCTGCCAGTTAAGAATGGTCTGATGGGTTTGTTAAACTTTGTTTGTTTATTTACGATGCAAACTGTTCTGATATCAGTGATATGCCCTTTTATTTGCGATGAATCAATGATCCTATTATGTATCATTATGATATTGAAGTCGATTGAAGGATCGGAACTACACCTTGATGATGTTCCATGTGACAGTCGTAAGAACATTTCAAGGATGTGAGAAGGAGAACAAAGAAGACAAAAGGGCAAAAATAGTTAAAAAAAAACTGGAAAACGGAAGGCGATATGAAATTCGAGTTCATGCAGTCAGGGATTGGTGATTCTGAACATTGTGTGTTTAGGGCATCATACCCTGCGGTGCACGGACGGCCTCGAACCGGCACCCTCCGCCACAGGAACGAAGTATCGTAACCACTACAACCCTTGGAGGTGTTATAAAGTATCGTAACCACTACAACCCTTGGAGGTGGATCCAGTTTTTATAACACCTCCAAGGGTTGTAGTGGTTACGATACTTCGTTCCTGTGGCGGAGGGTGCCGGTTCGAGTCTGTGCACCGCAGGGTATGATGTCCTAAACACACGTTGTTCAGAATCACCAATCCCTGACTGCATGAACTCGAATTATACCTGTCGTGATATCCAGCCCACCTCCAGGGCTGCAGCGTCCTTGAGCTCAACACCACACACCCAACGCACACCACACCACGGACTTAACAATCACGCACACTTCGTCGAACAACACGTTACCCACCACCGCTACCAAACCTGCTCACTCTTGCGGGCCAACTTGCCTGCTGGTTCACAGTGATTCTGAACAACGTGTGTTTAGGGCATCATACCCTGCGGTGCACGGACGGCCTCGTATAGTCGAACGGGGCCTTGTTTAACAGCAGGGTGCTTTTTCTGACCTAGGAGAAAATAAATTAATTTTCCTGTTGACAATGTGTGATGTGTGGTAAGTTGGTAACTCTGTTCTTGCGTCATGTGGGTTTTTCTTGCAGGGGCTGGACTTCCTCCTGACCAAGTTTTGATTGGCAATTTCTGTCGAGCGGCAGTGATTCAAGCTGAACGCGACGCTTAGCGGAGGCCATGGGGTGAGAAGATAGCTTTTATTGGCAATAGTTTCCGCAATGGCCACTTGATCCTCAGCAGCGGCCTTGATGATCTCTCTCTCTCTCTCTCTCTCTCTCTCTCTCACTCACTCACACATACGGAGTGAGAATGCTTTGCTTGTGCTCTCTCTATCTCTCACACGCACACATAGAGAGCATGGTTGCTTGTGCTCTCTCTCTCTCTCTCTCTCTCTCTCTCTCTCTCTCTCTCNGCAGGCGATCGTCCAACGAAGGAAGGTTCACCGAGCAGGAAAAAAAAAAAAAAAGAGGAAAGGGCTTCGCAAGCCCATACTGCACAGTTGTACACCTGTCTCTTATACACATCTAGATGTGTATAAGAGACAGCTCTCTCTCTCTCTCTCTCTCTCTCTCTCTCTCTCTCTCTCTCTTGTCCACATGGCCGATGCAGCAGAGATATAACAGGCGGGCAAAGTTGTGTCTACCTGAGTTGAATGCACAAATGCCGAAGTCAAGATTTTGTTTGATAGCGTGTTTCAAGCTCGAACTGGTATTCTTTTGGGGACCGAGCACGGTCTCAATCAAGATATTTTGATCCACGGTTTGGTTTTGACTCCCGTTTATCGAGGCATTGCCATTTACTGAGAAGATAGACAGATGATGCGTCATCATCTATCTCCATGGGACTGGGCTAGCAGGATTTGCGGACATCGAGGCATTGCTATTTACTTAAAAGATAGACTGATGATGCGTCATCATCTATCTCCATGGGATTGGGCTTGCGGAATTTGCGTACATCGAGGCATTGCTATTTACTTACTTAGAAGATAGACAGATGATGCGTCATCATCTATCTCCATGGGACTGGGCTTGCAGAATTCGCGGACATCTGCATGCACTCATGGACGTGTACGTGCGATTTCCGGGGCCGACCATGACCAGGGCGACAATCAAGGTATTGCAGTCTAAGACTTATTACAGTCGGTGTCAGTCGCTGCATTGTCATAGATCATCTCCTTCCCATCTCCACTGAGGCATTCGCTGTTCGATCTGCTAAGATAGACAGATGAATCGTCATCATCTATCTTGATGAAAGTTTATGAGCGGGGTTCGTTCATCCTCCCGCGGTTATGATTCGTTGCTGGTGGATGGAGGGGTCCATTCATTAGCTGCCGTAGCCGTGGATGTTTCTTGCTGGCGACTCTGTCTGTCAGAGGGTGCCACTGGATGCAATCTGCTCCTCAATCAAGATATTCTGATCTACAATTTGTTCGTCTCCGGAACTGGTATCCATTGTGGCGTTGACTTATTGGCCGTTGACTTATTGGGCGTTGACTTATTGGGCGTTGACTTATTGGCCGTTGACTTATTGGGTGTTGACTTATTGGGCGTTGACTATTTACTTCTGAGAAGATGGACAGATGATGCATCATCATCTATCTCCATGGGACTGGGCTTCGTGGGCTTTGCGGATATCCGCACCCATGATGGATAATGTTTCTGCATGTCACGGATCAGTGCACATCCTTCCCTGGCTATGGTTGGGGGGGGAAGGGGAAAGGGAGGGGAGGGGGGGGAGGCGGGGGAGGGGAAGTTGGGAAGGGGAGGGTGGGAAGGAGGGCATTTGATGAATGCAGGGCTGTCAGGGAGTGTTTTTTTTTAGGACACTGGCTGTGTATAAACTCCTCATCGAAGACTCCGTCGGGGAAAGAGTGCGAGGTGGGCTGTTCACGATTTGGTTGGTGGCTGTTCTCTTTCTGTCACATTTTTGTGACTTGGAAAGAGTGCGAGGCGGAAATCCAATAATATGTGGTTGCTTCTGCTGCTGTTGGCGCCTGGCTGAGAGGAGGGAAAGGTGAATTGGCAATCGTAGCTGTGAGGGATCTATCCATCTGTAGGATGAGCGAATTGTCTTTGTTGGCAGCGTCCATCCGCCATCGGTGGCAGTGAGGTTCGACAGCGAGCACAGAAATAACTACTTTGCTTGCACAAATCTTTTGTGCTGTTGGTTCTGTCGGCTACTACTGTGCTTGCACAAATCTTTTGTGCTGTTGGTTCTGTCAGCTGCGCAGCAGCCACGAAGGGGAGCGTTTCGATTCCATGCGCGTCAATTTTTTTCCGTCAGGGGGTGCAGAACAGCAGGACCACCAGCCACAACAAAGGAGAAGAGGAGCTAGCAGTTCGCCGGAAAATGCCTTGTGCTTTTTTTGGCAGTGGGAATTTGTTTCTTGTACTGCCGGAGAATTCTTTCTCCGTGTACCACCACCATGTGGAGGTCTATTGGGTGTGAAACTTCGACGCTGCGCAGTGATAGGTGTACGATTTATCCTAGACTTGGGTGTACGATTCTGTACGATGCTGGAGATGTATCGTATGGCGGCCCTGTCCAACCGACGATCACGATTCGCTGAAGACAGGATGGGGGAAGACAGTGTGTTATTGTTCACTACTCACATGGCTAATAAAAGGGGTGGGAGGGGGGGGTGGTGGGGGGGGTCCTCCCTTCCTCCCCCCCCCCCCCACCCTTCGCCTGTGCGGTTTTTGTGAGGGGGTATTGGATATAAAGGGTGGAGAATCTCTGGTGAAGGAGGTGAGAGAGAGGTCGTCGTTTCCAGTGCTTTGAGATTTGAGAGCAATACTATGAAAAAAGCATTGCGTGTCGTTACTTTGTATTTTCGTTTGAATCCTCTCCCGTCTGCCAGCTGGGATCTTGACGACGATCAGTGGACTTGGCCCTACTATCAGGTGCCAGTGTGTGTTATGCTGCTGACGAGAAGAGAAGAGGGCACTAGGTAGTAGGTGTACCGATCTTGCCGCAGAGTCTCCATGCCACACTGTGGCAACCAGTGCCAACCACAACTCTGGTATGAGTGTCTTGTTGTGCCTGTGCTTTCTGCTGAATCTGCTTTGAGAGCGTTGTACTGAACGTAATGGTAGTTTTTTTTTTTCTCCCTCTCTCATCTATCAGATGAGATGTGACGGAGAGGACTGGACAGTTATCTGTGAGATGACTCAGAGATGTTTGATCGCCGAGTGTTGCTCTGTTACGCTGCTGCTGAGCAGAGGGTAGGTACTACGTAGGTATCGTTGTATGTGCGCCTCGGCACAGGTGGCCCAAGCCGTGCCAACTTCGTTTGTGCAGGTGGCTGCCTGACTGCAAAACAGATGTCTGTTTTCAGCATTTTGCTGGAGATGGGCTCTTCATCATATTCCCCCCGCCTTCTCCTTTTCCTTAATTTTATCATCTTTTTCTCTTTTTTTCCATATTAAGAGTTTCTGGGTATAACTGTGTTTGATGATTATGTAAGCGGTTGTCGTGATGATTGCTACGATATCTTCTTCAGCAAGATCGGGCATTTATCTAGGTTGTGTCAGGTATTGATTTGAATGGGTGTCGATGTGGAGATGATGGATATGTAGTGGACTGTTGAAAGTCTGTGAGAGGGAGGAGAGGAGGTTTCCTCTTTTTTTTTTTTTTTTTTTATCCGAACGGAAAAGGAGGTGATGTATATCTGCATTAAGTACGGATGATGATGTGTATCTGCAAAAAAAAAAAAAAAAGGGAAGTTTGACGGTGAAACGCAGCAGGTTGGAAGCGTTTGATTTTGCTGTCGTTGCCGCCGTGGGACCACCATCCTGGCAAAGCCTTGGTTGTCTATCTGGCGCTAACATACGATTGAAAATTGGCTTCGAAATTTGAAGTTTGAATCGCAATCTACACACGATGAGAGGTGTTGGAAAAGAGGCAGGCAGTGATGAGGATAGCAAACTCCACCCATCCCATCGCTGATGGGCAATAAAGCAGGCGATCGTCCAACGAAGGAAGGTTCACCGAGCAGGAAAAAAAAAAAAAAAGAGGAAAGGGCTTCGCAAGCCCATACTGCACAGTTGTACACGTGTCATCCTTTTCAAGTTAGTCATCCGCATCGATGATGCCTCCTCCATAGGAGAGGTGGAAGTTGGCTTCCCCGCTTCGATCTCCCAACGAAGATCAGGGCTCTCATGGTGTCTGCAAATTCGCTGTGAGATTGGTGGTCGCGGCTTCTTCAACATGATCCATCGGATTGGGGAGGCATGCGTGAGAACGTGGCTGCTGCTGCCGTCCAGGTTCGGCTTCTTCAACATGATCAACCGGATTGGGGAGGCATTCGTGAGATGGTGAGAACGTGGCTGCCGCTGCCGTCCAGGTTCGGCTTCTTCAACATGATCGTTCGGATTGGGGAGGCATGCGTGAGACCGTGAGAGCGTGCCTGCCAGCGAGAGCTTCTTCAGGGTTTGGGTCTCCCGACAGTGCACAGCCCGGCAGGATCTGCAAGGAGTTGATTTTTTTGTTATGTACACTTCCACCACATTGAGATCCTCTGCAGCTTCAGCTTTTTCCAGCTCCAGCGGGCAGATTTTTTTGTTATGTACACTTCCACCACATTGAGTGTTCATGTTTTCTTAAGTTCTCTGAAAAAAGTTTCTGTTACTGTTTTGAAGTTTTTTCTTCAAGTTGATCGACTACTATGCGAGGCGGAAGGGATCGGAAAGGAGTTTGCGCCGTTGCGGTTGCGTTTGCACTTGTCCCGATAACTTTGTCAATGTTAGGTGGACACTTGATTGGTGATCGTCCGCTGGAAAGGAGGGTCGTTTCCTTGTGTGCACGGGAATAGTAGCACGTCTACGGTAGCTGCTCAGTGAGTCGTTCGAGCTGATACTCTCCTCTGGACTGAAATTTGGATGCGATGCGCACAAGAGTGGAGGTGGAGAACTAGTATAGTCTTCTAGAGTAGGCGCTTTTGTGTGTTTGTATCTGTTGTGTTTCTTGTCCCTTCTGTATCCAGCCAGGAAACCAGCCAGGGGAGGGAGTATGCAATTGTAACAACAATGTGAAACCAGCCATGGCTCATGTTATGTTATTCGAAGCAGGGCGGCAAGCAGTACTAAGACTCAGAAGTAGTCTTTGGGTTGCAGCAGTGAAGGATTGGCGTACGAACCAGAGTCTTCAGATGAGATTGTGTGGAGAGGGGTTGAAGTCATGACCCTTAGGCCCCAAATAACCCCCCCTGCTTTTGTCGCTCCTGTTATAAGAGAGACCATCCACCTGGTGCAAGGCCTGCAGAGGTGCGAGGGTGTGCGGGGGGGGGAAGTGGCAATCGATAAGACAAGGTAGATATAGCAAAGATGGGTAGAATTGGATCTAGAAAGGGCGTGTAGATGTACTAGGCGAAGGCGAAGGCGAAGGATGTAGGGAGATGTTTGTATGATGGAGGGGTCTTTTGATTTGACTGGATATGTAGGTTGCTGTTTGTGTGTTTGCAAGGATGAGAGGGAGTGGAAGAGGGAGAGGAAGAGTAGGCGAGGGAGGAGGGGGAGTAGGAGAGGGAGGAGGGGAAGAGGGAGAGGGAGAAACCACACGATTAACGGCTGTGATATGGACGGATTGTGTCCAGGGCATTGTTCTGTGTGAAGAAGTGCGCTAGAATAATAGTGGGTGGATTGTCCATTTGCGAGTATGATAGGGAGTTGAAGAGCGAGAGGAGAGAGGTAGGTGGCGACGGAGAAAGCATGATGTTCCCGGACATTGTTCATCAGTCAGCAATTAGATCTGTGTAAAGTTTTCTAGAATAGTAGTGGGTGGATTGTGTAAAGTTTTCTAGAACAGTAGTGGGCGGATTGTGTAAAGTTTTCTAGAATAGTAGTGGGCGGATTGTCCGTTGTCGGCGTGACATGCATGTGCGCAAGTGGCCTGTGGGTGGGACGTTCTCAAGAGACCCAAGGACACGGTGTGCTGTTGGGGCTTTTTTATTTGAGCTGGCTGTAGGTGCGTTTTCAAGTTCTCTGTGCCATCTGAACGCAACTGGAACGATTGGTTCCCAAGTGGGCTGAGGGGGAAAGGGATTTTCAGCAGCGGATTATGATGTGACCGGGTTCAGGCCTCGCACTGTACCCCGTGTTGTATTTCAGTTTTCGAAAAGGTTCGATTTATAATATGGTATTTCAATTTATTTGCTGTGAACAGGCGGGAATTGCATTGCTTTTTAATAAAAAGGTTTTATGTATTGCCGTGTATCACATTTTTCAGTTGTTGCAGTGTGGCCACTGGCCACACATGTTCTTCCTCCTTCCCCTCAACCATCGCTCCGGTGACCCCTCAGT